GGGGAGGGAGAACTCACAAAACGAGAACGTTATTGGGAGCAGGATTTCGTCCCTTTTTTGTCAAGGAAAGGTAAAAAAAACAGGGTACACAAAAAAAAATACTGCAGTGAACTTACAGAAGAGGAAAAAAAAGAGAAAAAAAGAGAAAAATCAATAAAATTCGCAGTGAGCTTACAGACAAAAAAAAGGAAAAAAATCAAAACAGAAAAACAGGGTGCCATCCACCCTCAGAATAAAAGTGTCATCACCACAGGCAACGCTGTTGTCAATAATAGTAAAATAAAGTAAATAGTTATAATACTAATAAACTCGTTGTTTAACAATAATATAATACTTGATAATAAATCGAAAAAGATCTGATAAACATAATCATTAAGAAAATAATGCAAATAATAAACATGAAAATATTTTTAAAAAGACACTAAGGCCCGTCCCTTGCTCTCCCCTCTTCCCCCTCCCTGTCCCGCGGCCGCCCCCTTGCCCTACCCCCCGCTCCGCCTTCCCCCCAACTGCTCCCCCCCACCCACCCTGCCCCCTCGTTCGTCCCCTTCCCTCCCCCCTTCCCTCCCCTCCCCTCGTTTTCCATCCCTCCCCCCAATGCTGTCTTTGAGTTGTCATCTCCTCAAAGACGGTAAGGTACGGTGAATCTAGATGTTTGGTAGTTCTCTGCCCAAGAGCAACGTCTGGGAAAGATGGATGACTTTTCGGCAGTGTGTGTGATCCTGTGGGGGGGTACCCTGTGGGGATGCACCTGTGGGGATGCACCTGTGGGGGTGACCCTGTGCGGGTGACCCTGTGGGGGGGTACCCTGTGGGGGTGACCCTGTGGGGGTGACCCTGTGGGGGTGACCCTTGTGAGGGTGACCCTGTGGGGATGACCCTGTGGGGGTGACCCTGTGGGTGAACAGAAAAGCCAGCAGCCATCTATCAGCAACGTTTGATAGAGGGCTGGCTTATTTTTTCCATTCACACACAGGGCCACAAATCACAGGCGGGGGGGCTGTAGCTGCTGTGTAGGCTGGATAATTTTTCAGAATATTACTAATTATTCTTAATTAGGTGATACTAATTCTGCTACTACCGTCTTTCACCGCAATAGGACGACCGGTCATTATAGCTGTATCAAGACTGAATTTTGTTCCAAACACAGCTGTAATGACCGGACGTTCTATTGGGGTGAAAAAGTCAGTACACGGCTTTACATCAAACTTCAAAATAAAAAAAATAAAAAAAATACAAAAAAGAAAAAAGAAAACAAAAGAAAAGAAAACGAGGGCGGGAATTTTCTGCTCCCAGTGCAAGTCTCAATGGGCTGCTTCCCCTTTCAGGGTGTGTAATACCGTCTTTACCCGAATAGGAAGCCCGGTCGTTCTAGGTGTATTTGGTCCACTTTCAATCTATATACAGAAATAATGGCAGTGCGTTCTATTCGGAAGGTGAAGACAATAGTCGTTATGATTATTATAAAACAAAAAAAAAAAACGTTGCCGTTCTATCCGTCCTTTGTGACAGTCAGAGAGTCTCTCTCTCTCTCTCTCTCTCTCTCTCTCTCTCTCTGTGTGTGTGCGTGTGTCTCTCTGTCTCTGTCTCTCTGTCTCTGTGTGTGTGACTATGCTTTTTTTAAGCCTTCAAAAAAAAAAAAGCATGGTCACAGAGACGGCCTTGAGATACCTTCATTGATTGAACTGACCGGCCCCAGGTAATTCAAGATTACTTTATTCAGGTCATCTAATTGCGCATCAGGATTTGAACTTGGGTCTGTGTTTCAACAGTTCAGGGTGTAACCCTTACTATGGGGTGTGAACCCGCAGTCTACAGAGTTCATATATATTGTCACATTGTGAATCAGAGCGCAAAAAAGGGGAAAGAAAAAAGGAAAAGGAAAAAAGGGGGAGGGGGAAGAGGTAAGGAAAGCTCCACCTGTTCATAACCTCTTACGTACAAGGCCAGCCACGTGGATGACAGGTTGAGCGCTGGCTGCCCCCATCCCCGTGTGTCACAAGGACCCACTTGCACGCAGCCAAAAGGCAAAGAGGTAAAGAAGGGGAGGAGGAAACCAAACCTGACAGGGAAAGAAAGATAGGGAAAGAAAGATAATCCAATTATCACAAAGCAAATAACACATCCCACAGATCAACGTATCTTTTTCCTTTGTTTCTTTTCTTTTTTTTTTTTTTTCTTTTTTTTTTTACCTGCCCCCACCTCGCCAGATAGGACAGCTACGGTGAGGATGATGTGGATGTTCACAAGGATGCCCAAGGAGAGCTGCGCCAGCACAGCATTCTGCAGGACGGCTACCCGTTGGCAGAAAGAAGGAAAGGACAAGAAACGGATGAAGGGACTGTGGCAGCCTGTTTCGTCGAAGTCACAGACAGCCATCACGCGGATATATGTGTATACATAGATATACAGACATAAAGATACATCATATATGTAATATATATCGTCACATGAATATCAGAGCGCAAAGGCGAAACAAACAGAAGAAAACAAGAAAATAATACTAATTCGTTCTTTTATCTTCCTTCTTACAACTCCCCCTGTTCAGAACCTCCTCTTGCGTACAAGGCCGGCCACGTGGATGTAAGTTGAGCGGCGGCTGCTGCCTCCACCCCCGTGTGTCATATCGACCCACTTGCACACAGCCAAAAGGCAAAGAGGCAAAGAAGAGAGGAAGGGCACAGCCAAATAAAACAGACAGAACAGGGGGCAACAAAACAGATCCCACATGACAAGTCCCACATGCAAGCACCCCCCCCAGTCCTACACAGGCCAAACGACGGCACAAGACCAACCAGGATGTCAATTAGTCAAACAGAGCTGCCTACGGTAAACCGTAGGCAGAGAGGGAGGGAGAAGAGGACAACGAACGACGGGGGGCTGTGACAAACTGTTTCGTCGGAGTTTCACCGAACTGCCTGGTAGACGGTGGGCAGAGAGGGAGAAAAAAGGATAACAGACGAGGGTAGACTCATCAGGAGGATGACTGTTACCCTCTTTGCCTACGGTTCACCACGCAGTTCTCTATCACGATATGTATCTTCTCCGCCCTCTTCACCCCCCCCCCCCCCCCCCCCCCCCTTCCTGTCTTGCCCACAACCCTCCCTCAATCCTCCCTTCTTTATTTGCGCCCCCCTTTTGCAACTTACTTATTTCGTATGGACCCCCCAATTACCCACAACCCTCGCTCAATCCTTCCTCAACTTCTTTTGTAATACTAGTAATATTGTATGGACCCCTCAATCCTCTACCCTCAACCCACACCCCTCCCTCAATCCTCTAACCCACACCCCTCTCTCAATCCTCAACCCACACCCCTCCCTAAATCCTCAACCCACACCTCTCTCTCAATCCTCAACCCACACTCCTCGCTAAATCCTCAACCCACACCCCTCTCTCAATCCCCCCTCCACTTGATTTGTATTAGTAATATTGTATGGACCCCTCAATCCTCAACCCACAACCCACACCACTCCCTCAATCCTCAACCCACAACCCACACCCCTCCCTCAATCCTCAACCCACACCCCTCCCCCAATCCTCCCTTGTTAATTCGGATCTCCCTCAATCCTCGACACGGCTGTGCTTAAAGAAGGGCGGGGATAGAGGGGGGGTTGTGGGTAAGAGAGAGGGGGGCGTGGAGAAGAACGGGAGGGTTGTGCTTGGGAGAGGGGAGACGATAGTTCACTCGACACGGGTGTGCTTCTGGAAGAAGAGCGGGGGAAGGCGAAAGGCGGGACAATTGCCCTGTCTAGAGTGAAGGGATACGTGGGCGAAGCACAGAGACAGAGAGAGAGAGAGAGAGAGAGAGAAAGGAAAGAGAGAGAGAGGCGGAGGGAGAGAGAGGGAGAGTGGTTGGGAGAGGGGAGACGATAGCTCTCGAAACGGGACGATGAGCGGGGGAAGGCGAAAGGCGGCACAATTGCGCCGTCTAGAGTGAAGAGATACGTGGGCGAAGCACAGAGAGAGAGAGAGAGAGGCGGGGGGAGAGAAAGAGGGAGAGGGAGAGAGAGGGAGGGAGAGGGAGGGAGAGGGAGAGAGAGGGAGAGAGAAAGAGTGGATGGGAGAGGAGGAACAATAAACTGAGGTGTAGCCGGGACAAGCACAGAGAAAAAAACAGCAAAAGAAGAAAAAGAAAAAAAAAGGCAGAAGAAAATATATCGTCAAAAGAGTACTGGCCGGTGACCCGTCGGCAGAGAGGGAAGAGGAAGCCAACAAACGAGGGGCCGTGTCAGACAGTTACATCGGAGATTTCTTCTTTTTTTTCTGTTTTTTTTTTTTGCCGTCGGAGTTTTTTTCTGTTTTTTTTTCACCATTTCTCGATTTCCGCGTGTCAACCTCTCGCAGCGGCCATGCTCATCTTCTTCTTTCTCTGTATCGTTCCCTAATTCCCGGGCGAATGACTTTCTCTGTATCATTCCACATTCCAGGAAGAAGGATGTTTCCCGACGAAGGACTGTATCGTCCGAGATGCACCGACTCGTCACCAAAAGTCACACAGAGAAGGAAGGCGAAGAAGAGGAGGAATGAAAAGCGATGACGATGGCGATGATTATGGCGATGATTATGGCGATGATTATAGCGATGATTATAGCGATGATTATGGCGATGATGATTATCCCATCATCGCTATCATCATAATGATGGGATAATGATGGCGATGATGATTATCCCATCATCGATATCATCATAATGATGGGATGATGATGCCGATGATGATTATCCCATCATCGCTATAATCATAATGACGGGATGATGATGCCGATGATGATTATCCCATCATCGCTAAAATCATAATGATGGGATGATGATGGCGATGATGATGGCGGAGGGTTATGCGTGGGCTTTCTCCCATCATCGCCCGATCAGCGGCCCCCATCAGCGCCCCCCATTAGCGCCCCCCATCAGCGCCATCATGATGATGACGGAGGGCGATGATGATGGTGACGATGGGAATTACGCCGATCATGATGGCGGTGTTGGCAAAGATGAAGGGCGATGATGATGGGGATGATGATGCGGAGGATGAACATGGGGAGGAGGAGGATGGGGAGGAGGATGGCGATGATGATGGCGATGATGATGGCGATGATGATTATGATGATAACGGATAAGGGGGTACTCACACTAAGACTTTTTCGGCTGACTCCTGGACAGTCTAACGGTGAGATGATGATTATGATGATAACGGATAAGGGGGTACTCACACTAAGACTTTTTCGGCTGACTCCTGGACAGTCTAACGGTGAGATAAATCCAGGGCAGGTGGTATATCCGGTCAGATACATCCACGAAAGTGCTAGTGTCAGTACACTATACCAGCGCACAATTTCGCAGTTCAGCATTTAACCCCGTATGCGCCCTGTATTCAGCTGCAATCGAAGTCTCCTTCGGTGGGGAGAAGGGTGGGGGAAAGGGGGAAACAGCAGGTGAGCAGGCGGGGGGGAAGAAGCGCGGGGAGGAGGAGCAGAGGAAAAGGGGGCGGAGGAAAGAGCAGGGGGAAGGGCCTGGTGGGAAGTGGGCGTAAATACTCTAAATACATCGCCATCGCGGTACAGGGCGGAAGGAAGGGCGCGGCCTCCCTGTTTGTGTTTCTCACGTCCTTGCGGGAGGCAGCAAGACCTGGGTCCGCATTCTGCCACAGAGAGAGAGAGAGAGAGAGAGAGAGCTAAGACGCTTCCAGGCATGTCCCGCCACAGAGCGAGAGGAGAAAGGTAACGGAGCAGAAGAAGAGAGCGAGCGAGCGAGCGAGCGAGAGAGAGAGAGAGAGAGAGAGAGAGAGAGAGAGAGAGAGAGAGAGAGAGAGAGAGAGCTGAGACGCTTCCAGGCATGTCCCGCCACACACAGGCAGACAGACGAAAGGTAACGGAGCAGAAGTAGAGAGAGAGAGAGAGAGAGAGAGAGAGAGAGAGAGAGAGAGAGAGAGAGAGAGAGAGAGAGAGCTGCGACGCTTCCAAGCATGACCCTCCCTCCCTCCCTCCCTCCCTCCCTCCAAGGGGTGGGAGAACTGGGAGGTTGATCACTACCTACCTCGAGCACCTTCTCCTGCCCTGAGTAGCTGTCTGCACCACCCGCGGAACTTCTACCCGGTGCTCTCGGTTCGACACTCCACGTTGCCACAGCTCCCTTCAGCTGCGGACATGGTCGCCTGTGTTTCCTTTTTTAGCCCTTCGGCTCTGCAATGACCATCGCAATGACCATCGCCGAGGAAGAGACGAGGGGCACCACGCTTACGCTGGCCTTCCAGCCCGACTGGTGCTCTGCTGCTTGTTTTCTCGTTTTGTGATTGTGAATCGTATTGGAGACTGGGCCTCGCTCCACTACTCTCCACATGCACAAAAGACAAAAAAGGCGATGGCCTTGAGGTGTTATCATTCCCTGAAGGCAATCAAGGCCACCCTGGGCTGAAAAGGCCACCCGGGGCTAGGTCCCACTTACACGAATTAAGACATATTGACCGTAGATAGCAAAGATCAACGGCCGAAATCTCCTAATCCGTGCAAGTGGGACCTTGCCCCCCCCGATGTCAGATTAGACACAATGTATGTTTCCAAGTTCTAGCGGAGGATTAAAAAAAAAAGATCTCATTTCGCCCATTTGGACAGCAGTGGAGCGAGGCCCAGGAGCTACGGTAGGTCCCACTAGCGACGAGGGTTGGATGAAGCTTCGGAAGAGATGCCGAAAAGCAGTTCGATCCGCTCGCGGAGTCAAGAGGGGGGGGGGGGGGGGCCAGGCGCCGCGTTGGTTGGCGCGCATAGCGCAACTCTGCGTGGCTGTCTCGGTGACCACGACTCGTATCGTCAACATCAAGGTTTGGACATCGCGCCGCTTGACCTCATAGTTCGCTATGGGGGTTATGGTTAGGGATTCTGCCTCCTACACGGGGTGGGCAACGACCTTTTTTTGGGTCGGGTTTTCCCCCCAGTTAGCGGCCTGGTTTCCTTTCCCCCCCTGTGTTTGGCTTTCAGGAGTATGGGAACTTTGAACGCCCGTCGTCTGTAACAGAGACTCGAAGTGGATTATAGCTACATTAAGAAGACCTCCCCTAGCCGGGGACTACGTGATAGTGCGGGTATTTTAGCGGATGACCTGAGTATTTTTAGGGTCCGTCAGAGAGATGGAGGAGTCAACGTCCAAACGTGTTTATTCGCAGGAGGAGAAAAAACAGATCAGTAGTCTGTTGGATGCTTGCTTCAAGGACGGGATATTCCCGGCCGGCCTCAAAATTGGGGTTGCACAACTGAGTGATGACATTGCACGCTTTGATCTGAATGAGGAATTTTCAGAATTGAACATTCAGTGGTTGAAGAACCATGCGGTGACTATCATTTTTGAAAATGAAGCTACAACCCTATCTAATTCATTGAAAAAGAAATTAGTTAGGGTGTATGAGAACGCATGGTACGATGCTGGGATTGTTGATGATTCGGTAACGAGAGGGCGATACCAGAGTGAAGGTAAAAACCTGGTCTCCTTCGCTTCATCAGAAAGCTCGATCATTCAATGGATGCTCACCAAAAAGGAAGACAAAATCCACTGTGATGATAAGGAATATGATATTCGCTTCCTCCCTTGGATGACGTTAACTGAGATGAGGGTCTTTAAGGATAAGGGCCCAAGGGTGCTCTGGGTTCGTTGCCCAAGAGTTCCTCTCCAGTTGATGTTCACCCTAAGGGTGGCTATTGAGGATACGTTTGGCAAAGTTCTAAAAGCGCACCCCACGGAACAGGAACAGGACGATGAAAAACCGGAGTTAGGAAGTGTCCGTTTTGATTTGGATCTTGCGGCTCAGCCAAGAATTCGCCCGAGGCTCGCGGTAGGTATCCCCAGCCAAGGTGTTTATTATTTTGAAGTCTTGTCGACGGACACTCCTTGGTGTAATACCTGCCGTACATTTTATCACACGGAGGCAGATGACACGTGCCCTGCCAAAGAAATTGACCCCTTTGAGAACCCGGGTCCACGTCAGCCGCCTCCGGACCCTCCGTTCTCCGGTTTTGTTCCAGTGGGGGAATCCCCCCCGTTGAACGGCTTTAGGCGTCTCCCACGGGGAGTGTGGAAAGATCTCTCTCAGTCAGGAAAGCCTGGTCAGCGACAAAACAACAGGAAAGGGGACAGGCAAAATAAGAACAAAGGAAGAGGTAAAGGATCGGATCCTAATGGTTCGGATCCAAAGACCAAGGGTAAAATGGATTGGAAGGAAAGGAAAGGGGTTGGAAAGGGAAAAGGAAAAGGAGAGAGTTCGAGAGAAAGAGGCAGAGAAGGAAAGGGAGAGAGAGAAAGAATCTCAAAAGGAGAAGGAAAGGGAAAGGGAAAGAGAAATCGAAAGGGCGAGGGTGATGGAAAAGGAGATGGAACGAGAACGGGAACGGGAGCGGGAAAGATTAAATGAAAGGGAAAAGGAAAGATGGAGGGTGGTGGCTACGGAAAACGGGACGAAGGGGACGCAGAAATCATCACAGGATAAGGATGTTGCGATGGCAATCCTCGAGGAATGGACAGTTTCCTTGTCCGTTGGCGGGGGTGGAAGGGAGGGAGGGGATGTGCGACGAGAGGAAAGATTTAAAAAGCCCCCGCTGCCGAGTGGCTTGACCCTGGCAGACCCTGTGGAAACACTGGAACGGTCGGATCTGAATATTCAGAAGATTCTGATTCCTCTTATCTGTGCTAACTCCAATAAAGGGGTGATGGTAATGGCAACTCAGCTTGCCAACGGGCTGCTGGAACTTCCAACAGCGGATGCAGAGGGAGCGTTGACAGAATTGGTAATTTTGGAAAAGGTGAAGCCCTTAATCCCTAATTTCATGCAAGTGAGAGTGATCCCGACAGTAAGAGTTGGTTGCTACACTGCAGAGGATGGGAATGGGACAAAGGCCAGATTGTACTTCGTTTTTTTGGATGCTAAGATGGACAATCAGACTATGAATCAACTGACCACAATGGACAAGGATTGGTTTCCCTTGTCCACTTTGGACTCGCCGGCCAATGAAAGCTTGAATATGATAATAATCAAACAGACCATGACAGCCACTACGATTGCTCAGTGGCTGGCAACAACAGCTTATAGGGATGTGATCTTTAAGCCTGAATTTTCGAACCTGCTGCGTGTGCCCTGGTTTGACCAACAGAACCTGAAGGGGGGAGAGGGTTCCCGTCGTCGGAAACAGCCAGATTTGAATGCTCCGGGTATTGGCCGAATCGAAGAGTCCTCCGCCATTCCTGGGCCCTATGCTGCCTAAGGGATTTTTGCGGATAGTGTCATGGAACATCAGAGGATTGTGTGATACCAACTACAAGCATAAAAGAGATCGTTTGAAATCTTGGTTGCACGTGAATAAGGTGGCCATTGCCTGTATACAGGAATCCAAGTTGGATGAGCGTAGACTGTCGTCAGACACAGCATGGTGGTCTGGACCGCAGTATTGGGCTCCAGCGAGAGGTCCGGGGGGTGAGGTTGGGACCTGTGGGGGTACAGGCATCCTGATTCACAGGGACCTAAAAACAACAATAATTGACCAAATGGCTGATATCTGGGGCCGATGGGTTTGGGTTAAAATCACGGTGGGGGAGCAGGACTGGACTATCATGTCCTTGTACCTCCCAACAGACTTTAATGAACGGGCGCATTTTATTGCTGAACTTCCTAGCTTGATCCCTAAGTCTGACCACTTGATTTTGGCCGCTGACTGGAATACGGTGCTCAACCCGGGGCTGGATAGCCCTAGGGTGACTCCCATAAGAATAGACGCTAGACTTTTACAGGCTTTTATAATATCGCAGAACCTAACTGATGTGTTTCGAACGCTTCATCCGGACTGTCATAGTTATACTTGGTTTGGTTCTCAGTCCCCCCCTGTGCGTAGGAGGTTGGACTTTCACTTGTTGAGGGGTAGTCCTTGGAATAATTGTTCCAAAGTTGAAGTAGGATTGTCCTATATATTTCGGATCATCGTCCAGTTCTTGTGGAATGTAAGCTGCCACAAGTCAAGTGCTTTGGCCCTTCCTATTTTAAATTTAATACGAATCATTTGAACGATCAAGGAGTGGTGGAATGGATTCAAAAACACTTAGAGCAATGGCCAATGGCTCGATACTTGTTCACAGAAGAAGCTCATTGGTTGGAAGTGGGGTTCAGAATCATGCAAGGTTCGCTGAGCAACATCTCTAGGATTAAAGCTATAAGAAGTTAGAATGTTGAATCTACCATAGCAGCTGGGATACAAAAAGCGGAATCTGAATTGGGCAAACATCCTGTCTCAGATGCGTACTGGTCCGCCAAACGTAAACGTGGGATCATGAAATTGGAAAAGGTGAAAATAAAAAAACAGGTACAATGGTCGCAATGGCTGGCCCAACGTAACATTATTTGGGGCGATATAATGACGAAAGATACGTTTCGGAAGTTAATCTTACAAAAATTCAGACCGTATATGAATCAGTTAGCCCACTCATTCGCTACCCAACAGATTTTGACGGAGGATGCTCAGCAGATGTGTGAGTTCGCTATGTTGTATTTTCAAGACATTCTGACTACAAGGCGTCCATTTGACGGCATGGAATCTGATTTGAGAGAGAACTCCGAGTTCTGGGACCTCACCCAGGCAAGGTTACCTCCTCACGCGAAATTGGATTTAGACAGACCAGTAACTTCTGAAGAACTGTTGCACGCAGCAAAAAGAATGGCTACAGGGAAGTGCCCTGGTGATGATGGTCTGCCAGTGGAAGTGTATTTAGCTGTTTGGCCGCAGATTAGTCCATTCTTAGTCACTTGTTACAATAATGTACTGGAGGGAGGAAATCTAACGAGAGGAATGATGAATGGGATTATTTCTCTGCTTTACAAGAAGGGGGGAAAATCATAAATTAGGAATTGGCGCCCGATCTCAGTCCTAAACGTGTCTTATAAAATTTTAACCAAAACCTTGGCTCTGCGGCTTGCAAAATATCTACCGGATCTGATTCGGAAAGAGCACGGGGCCTTTGTGAAAAACAGATCTATAATGGACAACATAGCCAGCACAATACAAGCCCTGGAAGTAATTGCTGCGGAGAACCTCCATGTTGTGGTCCTTCTCCTGGATATGGAGAAGGCGTACGACAGGGTGGGGTGGGCTTTCGTGATGACCACCCTAAAACACATGGGGTTTGGTGAGATGTTTTCTCGATGGGTGGCCACTATGTATTCCACAGCAACGGCTTCGGTAATGGTTAATGGTTATAAGTCTCATCAGTTTTCCTTGTCACGATCTCTTCGACAGGGCTGTTCGTTAGCCCCGTTACTTTTTGTGATTCATATTGAAGTCTTGTTTGACAACATTCGTTACAAGGAGCAGATTGAAGGGCTTAAATTGCACAATCAGATTCAGTGGAAGGGGGGAGCCTTGGCGGATGATCTGACGATTGCGTGTGCCAATAGGAGACCATTGCTAATTGCACTCAGAAAAGTCTTGAATGTATACTGTGATCTGTCTGAGGCTTCGATCAACTGGAATAAATCTACTTATTTTTTACCTAAAGAATATGATATAGAAGTGAATTGGGGCATCAAACAGGTGCCTGCAGACTCGTCAGAGCGTTTCTTGGGTGTTCAGGTGGCTTTAGTTAACAATGCGGAGTTTCAAGATTCTTTGCTGGTGGAAAAATTTGTTAACAGGCTGACAAGTTGGAGCTACAAAAGACACCTTTCCTTGGTTGGTAGCGCACTGGTAATCCAAGCAGCAGGCTTCACGGTCCTGTGGTTTGTATTAGCAACTCATCTACTGGGGGACAAGGCTTATAAGGATATTAAGAAAGTGGCCGCAAGGTTGTTATGGAAACCAGAAGCAACGGAGGATCAAAATTTCTTCTCTAAGGTGGCATGGGAAACGGTTTGCCACCCAAAGAAGGAAGGGGGCCTAGGTCTGTTGGACCCGAAACAGCAGAATGTGGCATTGCTAGCCAAGTGGCCGGTGAAGGCCTTGTTGGAGGACCAGGATTCTCCATGGCTTTCTCTGGCAATTTACATATTGAGTGAAGAGTGGAATCTTACCAGGGCGGAAGATGCTCTAGCATGTCTGCTTATTAGATCCTTTGTTACTAGGAAGGTGAAATCTGTTTTTTGGTCTAATATCTTGTCAGCCTGGCAGAGGTTGTTTCCAACGGAACGAGAAAGTCCGGACTCGAAACAGTCTGTTTTGAGTCAGATTCTGTTTGAAAACCCATTGATTCGAAGTCCTTCAGGTGCCCCGTTCTCTGCCCATGCATCGGCCGATAACTTTGACAAAGCCTGGGTAGAGAAAGGGGTAGTCCGAGTTAGTGATATATGGGATGAACGCGCCAAGAAATGGAAGGACTATGCGGAGATTAAGGATAGTCTGGGCAGGCTGAGGAATATTGCCAGTAGGCTGGAGGCTGTACAGAATGCCATCCCCCAAAGTTGGATTGCCCTATTGAAGGGTGAAAAAGTTCTTACAGAAAACCTGTGGTTAACCACACAGGATCAGCCTGATCTGGTCTTCCAGGTGAAAGCCGATTTAGGGAAGGATGGCTGGATGGCAACTGAGTGGAAGTTAGCTAGCGACTTTTCCTACAGCAGAGTAATGTTGCAAAGTGGAGATGTTAGATTGGATACTCTGCAAGGTTATGATGAAGTTATGGTCAGAACAAAGGTACAGAGAGCTCCGGCGGGAGGGACTTTGATAATCAAGGCCTCCCTACCGAGAGGTCGGTCTGCTGTAAAGGCGGCCCCTGCAGATATCAGGACGGTAGGATGGTGGAACAGTCAAAAAAAGCAGATCTTAGGGCTGGATGAGTATGGGACCAGCGAGGGTGCTGCCTTATTACGACAAAAAGTTAAAAAAAACCCTCAAGGGGTTGTGGCTAAGAGAAGACATGATCAGGGTTTGCTGGCATCTCGGAAGATCAGCTCCAGTCGGTCTGGCAACAGATTACTCAACTTCCTTCGCAGCGGTTAGCCAGCATTTTGTGGTTACAATCTTTGCTTGCAACAGCCTCAGCCGTAAGCCTAGTCGCTAAAGGTATGGAAATCTCTCCCTCCTGTGTCCGATGCAGATGGATGTGGGAGGACTCGCGGCACTTGTGGCTAACCTGTCCGGCCTCGAGGAGGATCTGGGATTGGTGGATATAGCACTGGGACCGGATTTCAGGTGGTAATTTTGAATGGTCTGATGACTGGATCTTAAACGGAGTCCATGAGAAGACAAATGCAAAGGTGGGCGATTGGCTTTATGTAGCTCAGGTGGCACGTGCTATCCTCATGAAGATAATTTGGGACGACAGAAATGATCAATTATTCAAGAACAAGTTTACCTCCGACAATGCCATCAAGAACACGGTACTGCAGCAAGTCAGAGTTACTATGGGCAGTGACTGGCTTCGCAAAAATAAGGGAGGCAACAAGTACAGAGTAAGGAAATGGTTGGATGACACCTGGGGTAGGGGGTCCAGATTAGGTAAGCTCACTGCCGATGGCAGAATATGCTTTTCGTCCTGGCTCCTCACCCCAGCTGGGCATGGGGAGCGTTTTAGCTCCCCTCCGTAAAGCTGTCATATTTGAAGTCTCTTTTTTTCCTTGGTATAGTTGACTACACAGCTTGTGATCGTTGCAGTGAAGTACCTTTTTAGTTTGGAGAGATTTCCTTATGGAAAGGGGCACTGGACCCGGTTTCCAGGAGCCTAAAGCTGGGTAATGGCCCGAGCATGTTGTGTACCGGGTTGTTTTGTGGGGTGTGTTCCCGGACCCCTGTCCTTTCCTGATTTGTAATGAATGGATTTCTCCAAAAAAAAAAAAAAAAAAAAAAAAAAAGGTTCGATCTTGATTTTCTGCACCTTTTCATGAACACGTCCAGATTCGGGCGTTCGATCCAACCCTCTTTGCTGGTGGGACCTCGGCCCAGCATAGAGCCGGGAAAATGGTGAAATGTCGTGAAACAAAAAAAATTAAAAAAATTAAAAAAAAGTTGCTGTAGTCGCTAGCCAATCAGGGCATTCTCCTTACCCACGGACGTAATCGCGGGCAGATACATCCAGGTGCAGCCGTAAGTACGGTTAGATACGTCCTCGACCAATCGGTGCGGAGCATTCGATAAGATCTCAGATTTGCACACCTTTTTTTTTTTTTAATGTTTTTTGGGGAACGGATTTTTTTTTTTTTTTTTTTTTTTCAAAGAGGGCCCTGAGGGCGTTATTCATTATAGTAGTCAAAACACAATTGAGGCCGGGAAACCCTCAAACAAATCAACCCGGAAAATACACAGCCCGGAATTGGTGTGGGGAAGCTGTATGTCCGAGAGCAGAAATAACCAAC